ATACATAACCTCTTTCAATTTTTTTTCCAAAGCAGCATGGGTAATACAGTTATTTGTAATGTTTCTAGCCCAGCCTATGGCATAAGTGTGAAATCTTACAGAAAAGCTTTCCACTGTAAAATGCTAAACTCTTGTTTTCAACCTTAAGTACCTCAGCCAAAGAAAGATTTTCCAGTCCAAACACATAAAATACTCATGCTTTCTTCATATATTTTATGAAAAGTAATCTTTTACAATAAGAAGTGATAATTCATACTGTCAAAAGTTTTCTGTACACATAAGTGAGGAAAAAAGAGCCAAGTTAGCACTTCCTTCTGATACTGTGTCTCATTCTCTAGAACAGGGGTGAGCAGCCAGTAGCACATGCACAGATTCAGCATTTAGAGTACAGCCTGCCACAAATGTTTCATGGGGTCAGGAAACAAGAGCAGATGAAATCTGAGAAAGCAACAGCTTCCAGGTCTTCTCTCCTACTCTCCACCAGCTGCCCCAATGATCACCTAATAAGCTGTGTCTTGCCCCTTTGAAGGCACGTTCATACCCGAGTACAGGTTCTGTGCACTGGCTTTGGCACAGTGAACACTGATCTGCCACCGCAGTGCTGGCTGCTCAACACACACAGCAGGCTCTGACCTGTGGCACTTCCCTTGGTTTCACTCCCCTGCTCTGGCAAAGCAGAGCCAATGGCTGAGACGTCTCTCCCTTTAATTGTTCCTGAGTTGTACCTTGTCTTTCATTCTCTTCAAGTTGTACAATACAAGTAAACCAGCTCGCTCTAGCAAGCACTGATTACACCAGCTCTTCAATGCCTCTGCTAGTCCTAGGTAAGGATTCAGTTAGGGTTCAAGCCTACATTTAATATGTAATTCAGATGTAATCTGAAGAGCAACACTTTCCAAGCCCTTCTGAAATAAAACTGGGACAGGTGACCTCCAATTTAACAACAAACAAATCTGGCACACTATCACTGGGAGGCTGGCCTCAGTCTAAAACACACGATTGATGCTTTACAGCATAATCTGCACACTAGCAATCATTCTTCTGGTAGGCTCAGTGCTAACTAACTAAATAAAAGCAGCTACACAATATGTTGACAAGATAATTCAAAGAAGTGGCTTAGCCTAATAAGTGTACAGACACAACAAGTAAATTAGCAATGCATTTTAAAACAATAAGACAGACTGTAGCAGCCAAATATTGCTTTAATGAATCAGATACATTCATATGTTAAAATCTGTGCAAATATCACCTTAAAGGTTTCAATTTCAGTTTGAAGATTTTTATCTGAGGAACAGCAACATTATGATTATAACAAACTGTCCTCCCAGGCACATGATACACTGGGTCTAAAATGTAAGTAAATGCCTTTTTAGGTGGATATCCTACTTCTGTTCCTACTTCTTCCCCATGACCCACCCAAAGACACAGAGATCCAGAGTCAAATTTTGTCTGTGTCTTAGACAGACTAAAATAATTCCATTTAGTTGGTGCACTTCTGCAGGGTATGGTCATCATTTGTTCGCAGCGTGTCAGCAGGCAAAGGATATTTAGTTACCAACCCTCAATGTCAGACAAGGATGGACTGTGGCATCAAACTCTGCCTCCTGCTAACTCGCAGAACAGCACTGAGCAGGGGTTGGGGAGATGTGGCTTGTCAAAGGGACAGCAGCAACAACTTGCCAGCCCTGTATTACATCTTTCAAGGACAACTGTACTTTAAGTGAAGTTACTCTGAGCAGTACAATCAGGCAGGCAATCAGGCAATTGGGCAGGCCATCCCAGGGCCTCAAAACATAACTTTCTTTTTGAAAAAACCTCACATGCTGAGAAATAACTGTATACGTCAAATGCTGAGCTATATAGATACATTGCTATACATATTTAAACAGCTAAACTATCTCCTGTTTTTTAAGCTACTGAGACCAGAACTAGTAAAAAGAGGGGTTAGTCCATGATAATGAAGGAAGATCAAGGAATAATTAGAAACAACTCAATTTTTAAGTCAGAAACATTTACATTATTTGCATTAAAAAAAAAAGAAAAAAGACCAAATAGGAACGCAGTCAAGTATTGCCAATTTTTCTGACAGTGTTTTTGGGATAATGCTGTACCCAGGGCAAAATAACTGTCAGCTATTTTCCTGAGAAGCTGCAAGGATTAATGCTAGCTCTCTATCTTAAATATTTGGGAGGTATTCAAATACAATGACAATGAGATTAAGTTGGACAGAAAAAAGATATTTTCTCTGCACAGAGTATAATATTGGTAATAGCCAATTTAAAAAAAAACAACAACAAAAAACCAAACAAAAAACCAACCCTTACTCCTGTATGATGAAGTTCAATCAAAATATTCCACTAAAAATGCAAACAGAAAGAAGTTTCACTGGTGTATGTAAAGGTAAATGGTCTGTACAATGTAATGCTGATAAACAAAATGTCACTATTTTCAAACCTAGCAGTAAAGAAAAGAATTGCTTTTTGATATCAGCCTCCACATTGTGATGGATGGCACTGATTCTGTCCAAGTGAACAATTTATGTCCAGCATTACAGTGTCCTATAACTACTAACTATCAAAAAAATGAAAAGATTAACATATTCCACCAATCAATATAGAAAATGAATGAATATCTAGCTTTTTCTATGCACTATGGTAACAACCATAAAAGGCTAAACTTAAAAGCAGCAGTTCTACCTTATATTCACAATTAAGACTGCAATACTCTATGATACAAAAATATCAGGTGAGAAAAACTAAATAACAAATAAGAAAATTATTTAGTGACATAGTAAGTGTCTTCACTTACCACTTCAGGATCAAAACTAATCCCTCCATGAAGTCTAAATTAACCAAAAAAATTAACAAGTCATGAAGGTTGGTTTTTGGTTTTGTTTTATTTTTTTTTTTTTATAATTTATACCTGCTATCTCTTCTTCAACACAACTGTTACTCAGGACAGCATACTTGAGACAGGCAAGCTTTCAGCTAGCCTAATATCAGTGACATCAGCCACACTGCGAAACTCTCACAGTTTGCAGCCCCAAATATTACTTTCAGCCTTTTAAGCTTGAACTGTGGAGGCTGAAGAGCAAATACGGGTCAGCTGCTGTTGTGACTGCTCCATCATGGTAAGTTCCAGCTGAGGTGAACTGCTGAACACTTCTTAAATGGTGTCAACTACAGTTGTCAGGAGATCATAAGCCAGAGCCCCAAGCAAGTTGATTAGAATCAGAGAGTAACTGGATTAGCGAAACTACTGAATTAGTATTTGATGAGCTGTATAATTCATATTTTATCTTCACAGCACTACTAGCTCTAACATCTGCAACATGAATTAGCATCCACCCCTTCACGTGCCATGTGATTCAAGCCTCACTTAAAACAAACAAGAGATTTGTGCAAAGGTTTACACTGAAACTGGTGAAAAAATCAAAACTAACTATACTTGACTCAGCAATTCAATAAAGATACTTGCCAACTATTGGCATGTTCTTATTATTTCCTCTTTTTTTCATTTTAGCCAACTTTAACAGGCAAAGTTGGGAGATATTGTCTCCTAGAGGCAAGATACAATCAGTCAGACAATTGGTGGCACCCTGTCTCTGTGAGAGGTGAAGCACTTACAGAGCCCAGCACACAACGAATGCTGAGTTCAGTGAACAGGCTCCTGCCTTTCATGGAGGCAGAAACTGCACAGTCAGCAGCACCCTGACTCTCTGGGAGCGTGTTTGCCAACTCTTTTGTCACACATCAGTTTGTAACATTGAAAAATATCATGCACTGAAGGAAGGCAAAATGCAGCTTCCCTCAAGCAGCTGTGGGAAGCAGGTCCATCAAGATAAGCTGTATCTACAAGTTTTTGTTGTATCTACTAGTTTTTGCTGTATCTACTAGTTTTTGAACATCAGAGCGTTGGCAATATGCTTCTGTCAGGGCAGCCTGAGCACAAAACTTCTCTCTTGTACTCCTGCAAGCTACAGGGAAGCCTATTCAGGTTTTAGTCATATTCCAGAGCAATCCAAAGATTCCTTCCAGTCATGGGCTAGCTAGACTTCTTGCCTAGAATTATAGTGAATTAAATAAAGGCAACTTTTGGCTTTCATAGTAAACATAAACAATTTAAATTAACATTTTTAAAGTGCTGAAAGGGTTTTTTTGTTGTTCCTTTTTAAAGTGAAGTTGTCTCTTTCTAAATTTCAGTCAAAAAGCTTAGGTTTCAAACTCACAATATTTATTGTAGATTTTCATATTTGTAATGATCTAAATGCAATTAGAAACAAGCCAACTATAGTGAAATCAGCTCAGCCATGAAACAGGATTGCAGTTTATCTGCCTCCATCCCTACAATTATTCCAAAGGAGAAAGACAGAGTAAGTTATGTTACTATTTATAGTAAAAGGAAATAAATATGAGTGCTTAGTAATAGTAGGCAATAGAGAAAATACAGTAATTTGGAGTTATGTCTTCACTAATATCCAGTAATTCACAGGTGGCATGTTACATCTGTGTGCTACATTTTATTTGACATGTTCACAATCCTTTTTAAGTCAGTCACAAATCCAAACACAGTTAGCAGACAGGGTATTTAATAAAATCAGATTTATAAAACTATTACTGTGTGAAACAGCATTTTACCTATTAAATTTTTCTAATACAAAACCAGCTACTCAAATCAATAGAGAATGAAAAACAATAAATAATGAAACTATGAGAAAATAATTGAGATATTATCAAAGCTATAAATACATCAAAGATTTCTGATGATATTATAATGCACTCTACATGTTTTTCCCTTTTTTTTTTTCCCTTCACAAAACCTCTCCTGATATCTGCAGTTTCCAATCATTTATTCTATAAATACAGCTTAGTTGACTAAGGCTGAAATGTGCTAAGATGCAGCAATGTTTCCAATTCATACATGAAACAATTTGGAAGCTTTCCCCAGGCATTGGTGGCTGCAGCTCCCGCTGCTCTGCTACCCACAATCCCCCCATTTACCTGCTCGCTGGGCTGCCTCAGCCCTGGTCAGGAAGTGGTAAAGCTGATCCAGCTTATCAGGCTGCTTCTCCAGGGACTTCTGCTGCCATATGGCTGACCCAGGCCCTGCAGCCTCCCTCAAGGCATCCCACTTCTGTATCAGAGTGAAGAGCTCTGAGAAGGACTCGTGATAACCCTGTCGCAGCATGTCTATGCAGATGTTCTTCTTGTATGAATTCCTGTTACTGGGAATAATAAAGAGAGAGATTTTCAGCCTTTAAACCCCTATTCTGTTCTCCACCTTACCAAATAAGTACAGATAACTAAGCCTTCAGAAAGACACCTCTGCAGTTTGGGAGCGGGGAAGGGGTATTTCCCCCTCCTCAAAAAAGCGTTCTGCTAAAATACGATTACAAATGTCATATCCTAGGGAAGTAAATATGGCAATCATGAATAAATACCAATATATATACATTGAAAACATGTTAAAAATATACTGGAATTCTTTAGCTGGTATTGGTGAAAAAGGCTGACTGATGGGAAAACCCCCCATGTTTACATTAGCTCATGAAAACACAATGAACTCTTAGTTAGCTTTAAAACAGTGCACAGGGAAAAATGAGGCACATTCCACATGTCAAAACAATGTATATGTTAAATAGTTTTGCTGTAGGACACGATGGCTTGGTTTAAAACGTCAAACAAATGCTATGCCAGAAACATAATCATTAGATACTATTTTGCTTCTGTTTAGCATATAACTTCAGCTGGGACTGGTTTACTGATGCAAAAGTTCAAAAATTTCTCCCCAGTTTTAATGGTGCAATGATGAATTTATATCAAAGTTATCTCATTCATAAACTCTGATAAGATATACACAGCAAAAAGTTGTGTCACCAAATATTCTCAAGAGGTAATATACCTTTTGAGGTCTTATTTGCGGAAATAATCTAAATATTTCTTTTATGTGGCATGAAACAATGATTGTGTCCTGTCCTGGAGAAAACTATGAGTCCAATGGCACTGTCTGCAACACTAAAGTACAGATGTAAAGGTTTGCAGGCGTTTGCAGGTACCTAGTGTGAGTAGAGAAACCAGTAAAATGGCAAGGACCCAGATGTGTTAATTTTATTTTGTATATTCCATTAAGTTTCCAAACTGTTTTCTAGACTGTCTTTTTTACATTAAAATCCATTTAACTGCAGATTCTCAGCAGCTTTAAAATAAATATGGAATCTGAAAACTGAGATTTATAGTGTATGTAACAAATTCAGATAGCCTCATACTAAACAGCAGCCTAATGAGACTAGTACATCTAGCCTAAAAAGAGCTACCGCAGTTCTTTAACAATGCTAATAAGCTGGAAGTGATCTAAAAAACTTATTAGCTAGATGTCAATGAAATAAACAGTAATGTGAGAAGTAATAAGTAAGTAATCTGCATTATTTCATATTTAATATGATTAAAAGAAAATATCTTAATTACTATATAGATATACATTAATTCTTCACATATATTTTTTACATTTCAGTTGCAGAATTGAACACAAAAATATTACAAAATCCTGATACAATTTAGGCTAGAGAGCACTGAATTTATGTTCAATATATGAACAGGCGTTTTTTGAGATCAAAAAACACACACTGTTCACACAGACAAGGGAAAATATTTAACTATTCTGTGCCAGAAAACATTTGCAACATTTATCTCAGAAAAGCAAATGGGAAATATCTTTAAACATTTAAATTTTAATTTGCCAGAATATGCTATATTTGTCATATATCAGATGCACTGTGTATAACTAAAAAATACTGTAAAGATATTATGTTAATACCATATAATGTATTCTCTACTCTGTGTATGCAATGCTTTATTTTTTCTGTTTTAAAATTCTATCTAACAAAAAAAAAAAAGAAAAAAGAATACAGGTAAAAAATTCTTACCAACTTCCAAAGGCCTAAAACTGAATCCTAGTGTAATATAACTCAGAGCAGTGGAGAAACATTCTGCATTGCAGACACACATATGTGCATATTTATTTATATAACGTGATCTATATACACATAATGCAAATGCATTAGATCATTAGATGTATTGGAGGTAAACAAGAAAGTACTGCTAAAAGATCTTAACAGTGACTAAACAAAATGCCATTCAGTTAATTTTTAACACTCACTGCATACTCACTGAGCACAGTACTGATACTCATATAAATAGAAAAACTGTGTCCATGTAACATGTCATTTCCTGTAGACTGATGCATTTCACTTGAAGTCAAAGTAGCATTATTAGCAAACCAATACAGGAAAACAAAACATACAGTAAAATAGGTCAGTTTTAAAAATTAGTGCCAATATTCTTTTAATAAATCCCATCCTAATTCATAAAGCAATTGAAATAATGCTGAAGTAATCAGATGGTACAGAGCATTTTTTTTTTTCTTAAAAAATTGACTGATTTAAACTCTCAAGCAATGAAACTATCTACTGTATAACCATTCAAATTTTAGAGGCATAAAGGTATAAGTTATCTCTTAGTTATACTTAGAAACAGAAAATACACAAAGAAAATATATTAATACAGTTGTTTCCTTAAGCTTCTGCAATATATAAGCCACAAGTGACTGACCACACATGAACAATAAAGTAGAGCTAGAAATTAATTATGGTACAGGGATGAATGGTATTCAGACACCTAAGAGAGCTTGACACTGCAACGAGTTCTGAAATTGTTTCAGTTATCAAAGTGGTTCCAGATGAGAATTCCAACATCTTTTTCCCCAGCCAACAGTGCTTTTGAACAGAGAAGTAGTGTAGGTGACAGCAGTAAACTTTTAATGATATCTTGAGATAAACTATAAATTCTCAATCCTCAAAATCCTTTTCATGCTGCTTTTTATGATGTTAAGCAGCATGTAAAATGAGAGGTTAAACAGAACATCTCATGTTTTACATAATCGAAGATGATTTTATTTCTAATATCAATATAAAAAACTGAGACCTAATTAAATGTACATGATTTCTTTTAGAAAATCCAACTGTTAACAGTATGTTTCTGCTACATTAATAAACTAGTTTAAACTTTTTCAACCTTAGTACCCAATAAATTATGATCTATTATGAAACAAGTAAGTTTGTTTTTCTGCGTTGTGTCCACACCGATTTTAGGTTTCCTTTGAACAATTATGTTACTTCAAGAAGCAAAATGAAAACAGACTGGCCTTTCATTTGGTTGGAGACGTTCTAGACGTTTAATGGTCTCTGGGGGCATCTACTGGAAACCTGGAAAACTGCAGCCAGGACATGTTAATCGGGCCGCTGTCAGCACAGCGAGGCGCACACAGAACAAAGGCACCGGCACGGATTTGCTGCAGGGCGCGCAGCACTGCGCGCAACGCGCAGGGGAACAGCGCGGCTGCGCTTCCTGCGCGGACATTGACTCTGACTTGCGTTACTCGGTGCCAAAAACCGTGCACACAGTGCCTGCACGGTTGCCTGAGAGCAATTAAACTAGTCGAATTAGAATGAGCAGACAAGAGAGCTTCGTAATGTTGCTGTGTCTAATTTTAAAATCGAACCGCGATACGAATGCAAACCTGGAGTCCTCTTTCCCCTCTGAATGATCATATATGCGTGCTAGGAGAAAAATATTTCAGATGGATTTAAAAAAGATAAATCATTTTTAAATTAAATCAGGAGCATACGTTATGTAGGTATGGTTAAAACAAAGATATCAATTAATCTGTTTTTAATTTCAAGCAGATTTATTTTTTTTTAATCCCTGAAATTGAACAGATGCAAACCATAATACTTAACACAAACCTAGACAAACCTGAGAATCCACTGTTCTGACTGTCCACTCACCTCTCTCATTACTGAAAGCCTGTTCACGTGGCTACATGTTTCTCCCCACAGGTTGGGTTCAACAGTGAAAGGAGGTCTGCTTAGTGTCGTGTATCTGGCTGGGTACCCTGCACTTGTCCCAGCTCAGCAGTTAACGTATGCAAGAGGTGCTGAAAAATTCTGTGGACTTCTGTCCGTGTGTCATCAGGGGCGGGTGTCAGAAGAATTTTTAGCACCAAATAAATAACCACCAAAAGTTAAAGTTGCTGTTTTAGTGGTACCATGTTATAGATGATGGTTTCATGTAGGGGTGGAAGCACCACATGGGTGGAAGCAGCTGTTTATTGAATGTGGATCTGTGAGCTTGAAAAGGCACTGCTGATGTTAGCACTGTGCTTTACGTGTACCTGGGTTTTGCTATAGGCATTTTATTTTTCTTAAACTACACAGCTACTTAAGTAATTTTCTTATAGGGATTTATTTTATTGTTATCATTGCTATTCTAAAACAATCTAGAGTTATGATGAGGAATCACAGAAACATGATTCTAATTTGCCTTTACCAGTGCAAAAATCATGAATACTCGCCTTCCGTGAGGCTAAGGAAATGACACTGTTGTGGCAACCTCAAGGACCTTCCCATGTAAAGGTGTTGTACTTTTTACAAGTCTCTTAGAGCAATGCTGGGAGGTCAGGACAGTACCACACTCTTTAAATCCTGCACAACAAGGCTATTTGTATTCTAGCCTTTACACAGAACGAGAGTGCAGAAATAAGAACTTAAGAGGCCAAGAGGCAGGTACTGGTGTTAGAAACAATCAAAATGGTCAGTATAGCACAATAGAATTATTTATCATGAGCTTAATTTCTCCATGCCTCCTGTCTGGTGTGGCCAATTACATACCTGCTAAATAAATGCAAAAGTCTACTATTTTCAAATGACAGATTTTTTTTTTTTTAATATATATCATGGTTCATATCTTTAGATTTTGTAGGATTTAATTAGTACTATGGGTTAATGCCAGCTGCTGATTACGATGCAAGTGTATAGCAATCCCATTTTATAAAGCACAAAATGGCATGGATAAAACAACGATAGTATATAAAATATTGAGGTGTACTTCCAGTGTAAAATAAATACCAATTATTATAATATTTTAAAAACTGTATTCAAATAGGTTTCATCCACTTGGGATTTTCCTTCTGCAGTTGGCAAGTAAATTACTGATATAAATGGTTTAGATAAGGATCACAAAATTATGAAAAAATAATTGAGATTTTTTGCTTAAGTTTATTTAAACTGATACATTTTACTTCCCCCCCCCCCAATTTCCTGTCTATAAATCTACAAGAAAATTTAAATTACATCATGTATGCGAATACTTAGCTACTTTGTGTTTAACC